GGAATTATTAAGACCTCCGAGATGATGCTGGCCAATAATATCGCATCATAGACCGGGAGCAGGGCCCCAGCGCAGGTGCAAGTTGCCCTTAGGATTCTGCAGGCGGGCGGGTCAGACCAGCACTTGGACTAGAACCCAACATCTTTCCTCTCACAATTCAACTGAAACAGTCACTCAGCTCCTACCCTGTACCACACCCAGTGTCAGGAAAGAAATCATCAACTAACCTGAACCCTCCATTAACAGGATCATTTTTCTGCATTCCCCTTTTTAAAGCAGGCCCCAAAGAAAGGTAAGTTTATGTTTAAGAGTGTATGTTTTTTTCTTTTTTTTTCCATTTGTGTTGCAACAGTTGAGGAACATCTTGAGGACAACCGACATTCCTTCCAGGCTTCTCTACATGTCCATCCCTGACCCAGGGCACAGAGACTTCATGCTCGAGACAGTCCTAGGGCTTAGCTAGATCTTCAGCTAGCAACTCAAGACTGTTTTAAACATCGGACTCTACCTTCTAAAAGCTAACATTTTTTAAAGATGTGCAATGTGGAAAAATGACATTTTTCGGCATAGCTATTGGCTACTTATGAATTAGGACTCTCTTTTTCCCCATGCAGTGTGTTGGAGTTTTGGTCTACTAACCCAGTACGTGGTGGGAAGCTCTGGATCCATTTAGCCAACATCCTGGGCCTCAGCCAAACTTCTGTCCAGACACAATGAGGCAAAACCTGCTCCTTGGAATAAATGCTTCAAGATAGTGCATTCTTCCAAGAAGACACAGAGCGACCTCTGTGTGCCCGCTCCAATGCACAGTTTGAAATGCTTTCACACCTAGGCCTTGAGTTGTTTGGAAAGAAAACAAAGTATTTTAAAGGAGGCGAGCAGACCAGTCCTAAATGAGCTCCCATGTTCCATGCAGATATCAACCAGGTTTCAACAAGGCCAACTTTGCTACTGCACTAATATTTCTTCCTTAATTCTTCCGAAGCTAAGCCATGGGAGTTAGGAGGAAGACAGCTGGCAAGAGAGCAGCGTCTCAGATTGGTTCCCATTCCAAGAGCTTTGCCCAGTGGACACAAGCCTGTCCCGATGCCCACTGACCTCTGTCCCCAGGGGATAACACTGACCAGCTCCCCTGCTTATCCTAGGGCCTCTGATCTTACTCAACAAAACCAACCTTTACTGAGTGCACTTGAAGTGCCAGGTGCCAGGTTTGCTAAGAGGTTCAAAAAGGAGCCTTGGGAGGGGGCGAGAGGTGGGAGGGGGAAAAAAACTACCACCATTGCCCTAAAAACGCTCACAGCCCATGGCAACACAGTCACCATCACAGCTGGCTGTCCCCAGACACCATCAGCTTGTCTTGACGCCTCTGGTTGGAAGGAAGACGCTCCCCCCACATCCTCAGAGCACAGTGACAGGTCTTCCTTAAATGTTCTTTTATGGGACAGAGGCTTACGAAACCATGAAAAGATTGCTTATAGGAAAAGGGACCTGTGGACAAAATCATAGGATGCCATACTAGAGGTCTCGAAAGCTTGAAAGAGATCAGTTTAGGTCAAGGACAGGCAGAGGTGGAAAGGGCACTGACCCAAAAATCCAGAGCCTGTGTTCTTTTTTTTTTTTTTTTTTTGCGATATGTGGGCCTCCCACTGTCGTGGCCTTGCCCGTTGCTGGACGCGCAAGCTCAGCGGCCATGGCTCACGGGCCCAGCCGCTCCGCGGCATGTGGGATCCTCCCGGACCGGGGCACGAACCTGTATCCCCTGCATCGGCAGGCAGACCCCCAACCACTGCGCCACCAGGGAGGCCCCAGAGCCTGTGTTCTTCACCAGCTCACCTTGTGTCCTTGGGCAAAGCACAGTCCTCTATAGTTTTACAGATGAAGGGAGGACTGGCTCAGTGGTTTTTATTAGCAGTAAAACCCATGTAGTTTCCAAATTATATTTTATATAGAACCCCAGTATATAAAACAAAGAAATCAGGGCTGGGAACCCAGAGCCCGCCCACTCAGGCTGAGTTTTTTTTTTTTTTTTTTTTTTTTTTGCGATATGTGGGCCTCCCACTGTCGTGGCCTTGCCCGTTGCTGGACGCGCAAGCTCAGCGGCCATGGCTCACGGGCCCAGCCGCTCCGCGGCATGTGGGATCCTCCCGGACCGGGGCACGAACCTGTATCCCCTGCATCGGCAGGCAGACCCCCAACCACTGCGCCACCAGGGAGGCCCCAGAGCCTGTGTTCTTCACCAGCTCACCTTGTGTCCTTGGGCAAAGCACAGTCCTCTATAGTTTTACAGATGAAGGGAGGACTGGCTCAGTGGTTTTTATTAGCAGTAAAACCCATGTAGTTTCCAAATTATATTTTATATAGAACCCCAGTATATAAAACAAAGAAATCAGGGCTGGGAACCCAGAGCCCGCCCACTCAGGCTGAGTGGCCTTCAGGGAAGCCAGTTGGAAAACTGCAGGAAGAGTGTCTGAAAGCCCCTTCCAGAGCTCTTACAACCTCTCTCGGAGGACGGGAGGGAACGCTTATTGACTGAATGTCCTCTGTGGTACCTGGCAATTTAGAAATCATGTATCATCGAAATCTTTGCAACAGTAAAGTGAGATTAACTAGGGCTTACGAACTAGGATCTCCCATGATCTGAGCTGTGAACTGGGATCTGTTGGCAAGAGGCAGAACTGGGATTTGAATCAAGGGTTTTCTGACTCCAAACATGACATTTCTACTCTTTGCTAAGAGGTTTGTGGAAATTTGGGCTGTATCGATAATTTCCTTGCATGGTAAATATAAACATATGTGCATATATGCCTAGGGAAACACAGCTTGACGAATATACTTCTAAAAATTTTCATTAGCTATCTCTGTATGGGAATAGTGTGGATGATTTTCCATCTATTGATCTACATTTTCTAATTTCCCTAC